CCCATTGCACGCAGAACTGACACTTTGTCGTTCCCATCATTCAACACGCTCCCAATTCCGCCAAAGTTCATCTCGTATTAACGCTTACGGCAATTCACCCATACCGTATCTTGCTCGTGTACTCATAAACAAAGAGCGGACAATGAGTGAACTTTGTCTTAACCTTGGTTTATGAAATGTCCCCATGGCTGTAAAACATTTTCTGCCCGTTGATTATGTACATTGTGACGGTTAGTGTGTATGATTTTTTAACTGAAATGTGAGCACCAGTGCTTGCAAAAGTTATACACAATACAAATCAGATTTAGAGGTATCCAGAGGACTCAGTCATGTTGACGGCTTAAAGCTTCGCGGTTGATGACCTCAGAATAAGGTAGTTAGAGACCCCGAGTGTTTTAAACAGTGACGCTCGAGTATCTACTCATTTTTTTCAATATTTTATTCTTACTGAGTTCCCTATCCTTACATCGACACTGTTTCAAACATTGCAATCTTTCCTATACTCCCTCACCAAATGGGTAGCCTAAAGACACCAAGCAAAACCGCCGCACAAAGTGCATACATAGTTAATGGGTGTACAAATTGAACTCAGATTCAGTCAAGCAACAAAATCTGGAGAATGAGACAGTGAAATACGTGAGTCAGTGAACGTATGGACGATGTCCAGTGCAGTCAGGTGAAATGTGAACTCCTAACTGACGCGTTCATCTTTCAATTAAAATAAAGTGACCTGTGTGTGTGCGTGTGTGCCACTCCAATCATTCACAGCAGGATTGCGTCTGACAACTATGAGTGATCCTTTCATACAGAAACACAACTAGTAACAGTGAATCTGACACAAGATTTACGGACTAGGATTAGCCTTATCTCCGACTATTATATACAGGCGAGCAGTTTCGGTACTCAGGCTAACATGGAGGTGAAGTAGTGTTAAAGGAATGTTGGTGCGGGTAATGATCTGATGGTTTCATATAACACGCAGAAGCAAACCCATAATTTTCCAAGCAGTAAATTGCAATAACACACTGATAAACAATGGTGGAAAGAACGCCCGGCATGTAGGAATCAACTAAACCTACCACCAACGATCTATTGTATAGCAATGATCGAGAAGAAAACAAAGTTTTTTTAAAAACTGTACTCATATCTGTTGTATTAATTTGCTACCGGAACGTGTATTTGCTACCATGATCCGGAAACAAATAATCTTACTAACAAAGCACTGTCTTCTCTCTATCCTATGTACCAGGCGGTGGTGATGGTGACCCGGTGGTTACGTCATCAAATTCTCTCACCCAGCGGGGATGACGTGTGTTCGAATCTCACCACCACCATCGCCTGACTTTCCCTACTGTGTTGTATGGCAGCCCCCTTTGATTGGCCGCTTTTCCTCTTCCGGAAAATTGTATCTTTGTATATGAAATAAAAGGAATGAAAAGAAGAAAGGAAGGAAGAAGATATACCAGGCGAAATGCAGGCGGTTCATGTAACTTTCTTAATCACTTACGTTAACGATGATGGTTTGCCAATTCGATGGAGCAAACGAAAGTCATCAAGGTGACTCGATCCAGACGTTCAAAATCATGTTACGTAATCGTTATACAAAGCTACTGATTTTCGAGATGGCCAAACTGTAGTAGTTTAGTTTTGTTCAGTTTGTACAACCATTAATTATGCACTTTCGTGCAACCTGTTTTGGTTGCTGTCTGTTGGCTGCCCATTCAGATGAGGCAGTAGGAGAGACACAGGACGAGTGAAAGTAGAGTCGAATAGAAAGTGGAGAATTTCAGTGAGCTGAGGTTGGAAAGAAATTGAGATGCATGAACGTCACTGTTCATGACACTCAGCCATACCACTCAGTGTCTCTAACCATCGGTTACAATCATCCCGAGATCCCCAGCCAGGGAGCCTAACGGGACCTATGTGAACGAGTCTCCTGGTTAGGGTTTTCATACCCTATTGTTATGTTTTAGTTTCTCCACCCTTGGCTTTATTCCACCCACACCCGCCGCGGTGAACATCGCTCGCCGCGGCAACGTATTTGGTGGCATGCGTAACACATGCCCCAACCAACGTAATCTACGGGGGTCGACCATTTTCTCCATTGGGCGACTGCGGTTACCCACACCTCTGCGCTTGACCTCAACATTGCTCGTCCGATTCCCCCGCCAGATTCGTGCAAAGCTGCATAGACAGAGGCGTTCAAACCGCAGCACTCTCCTCCTTTTCTATAGTTCGCTGGTCTGAGTACACGCGATACCGTTGATGGGAGTTTGTTGCATACTACAGAAAATCAACAAATTTTACGTTAGCGACTGAGGAAAGTACATGCATTACCCGCATATGTACTCCGTCTTGCTGTTAAAGAATGAAGCATACCGAGGAAGTCAACCCAGAAGTAAGTAGCTTAAGTTTGACTCGATCGCGTACTTTGATGGCATTGTACTCGTTGCTCCAGTGCACAACATTCACTTCGAAATGGTTCAATTTGCTTTACCGAAAGAGATACTGGACTTTCAATCATCCACCCACGAAACACGATACCAGCTAGAGTTCCCTTTGGGTTTTTCGATAAGACTAGATTCCATCCGTCTGATGACTTCATTATACATGTATACATGTATACATGTATATGTATGCATTACTGACCTTCGTTACAGGCCAAATCAAGTTTTTTTATTACACACTTTCGTATGGTAAACAACAGACGGGGAAAGTCCCATAGTCAGGAAGACCTGCCGTTCAGTGATCGTAACCGGCAACCTAAACCCCTGGACTTGGAGTGGCGAACCAAATAAGGCCCCGTGGTAATGAACCGGAAAACAGTACAGCTGCCTACCACCAAAGTTGGGTGGCGGTGTCGAGGCTCGAACAGGTGAAGTCAAGTATTTGGTTTATACGCCCGGAAAAGTGAATAATCAGCAGCGATCATGTCACAGAGAAACTGGCTTTCTGAAACATCATGAATGAGTGCATACTTGGAATATAGTCTATTTCATTCATGTAGTCTATCTGTTTTTTTTATGAAATAAGCTTGATAGTTTGAGTTATGGCAACAAGAATCGATTATTTTTATCCGGAATAAACACGTCACATAGCTCTTTTTTGATATCGGACGATCAAAACTTACCGACTGATGATCGAATACAAATCCTTCCACATTGAGGTAGAAGAAAGCAATTTTTGTTCGTGTAACTCGTCCAGAAGAACAATAAATGCCTCACGATTTTTGCGCTGTAATCGTTTCTGTTTGCGTCGTTCCCGTTCCTTTTCCTCGTCATGTTTCTGTTCCAGCATGCAAATATGCTCTTCGAAACAGATCAAAGCGTCTTCTTTGTCCAAACTCTGCAATTCCACGTCACTGGTGAACCTGATAGCGGAGGGAGGGGGACCGGGTCGGATTCAAAGAACAGAACAGAACAAACAATGGTAGTAGTTGGACAAAAATGTACTTGTGCTGTGCATATTTTTGTATACACTAGTTTTCTCCCTCTCACCCGGCTCCCGGGGAACACACTGTTTCGTGGTCCTGAGTGATTCGACCAATGAAACTAACCAAAAACAAACACTCCTGTTGGATCGTACAACTACACACTGACCAATGAAAAAAAACTTGACTCGTGTCGAAGACAGCACGTAGATCTTGTAGATCTTACTACGCATATCAAATTTTGTATTGGGTACGTGTGCACATTGTACGTTGTCCACGTGTTGCACGGAAGAACACTAGTTCTTTGACAAAAAATCGGTGGATATGCGAGAATTCTGTGTATGCTCTGTTGTTGTGCGCGATCAGTTTCAGTTTTCAGTTTTTACAATCATTCACCATGCGCCGGTTTTGGTTACTATCTTTTGGTCACCCATTTGGATGAAAGAGAAGAATGAAGATTGGAATGCTGAAAGCCAATTCAGGTGGCAGATAGAGAATTTATATAGATTGGTGCAAAGAGAATAATGGGCGGATGCACGAGCGCGACTGTTTGCGACACCCGGTCATATCACTCAGTGTCTTTACCCATCGGTGACCGTCATCCCGAGGTCCCCAACGAGGGAGCCTAACGGGACCTATGTAACCCAGATTTCTGGTTAGGGTTTTATATCCTCGTGGTAGGTCTTCATTGGACCACCCATGCGCGATCAATTTTCTGCGATAGCCAGTGACGCTCGCAGAGTTAGACCGGTTAGATCTACTAAATATATTCACCAGAAGTTTTACTTCAGTGCTCACAAAGGTCAATAGGAAAGACATTCCTGGGACTTAGATAGATAGTTGTCGCTCCAAACAAGAATTGAAGTATTGCAGGGATAAACGTATCATAAAACCATTTCTGCCCCTAATTGAGCTCTACGCGTGATGACTAGGCTGTGAAGTAGTCATGTTCAATATCCCGCAAAGTTTTACTACTTACTGATCTTCATCTTGCACTCTGTTCTCGATTTCACGCTTTCGTGAAATTATTCCCATACAACTGCCACCATAGCGGGGTAAACTCGGTGAAGGTATCGAACAAAATCTAGACAAGTGTTATGTTGGTCCAAACGAATGAATAAGGCGGTCGAGAACCAGCCAGATCGGGAACTGGAATGAGACTATTTTGGGTGGAAAGATAAAGTGATCGAGACCAAAGATTTTAGGTCAACATTTGAAAAAATGAACTCACCTTTTATTATCCAGAAGCATCTGTTGAACTTCACCCCAAGTGGTTCGGTAAGTCAACTTTCGCATACTGCTTAGTATTTCGTTGAAAACTTTGATGTTTTGTTTTCTCAAAACTTTCGCTTCCTCTCGTTCCCGCTTAGATATTTCTTGCATTACATCATCAAACAACTCACGTCGATCTTTGTCCGGTACAATTTTCCACTCCTGTGCATCCGAGAGGAGTTGATCGACCCGACGATAGGACATAGTGGAATGGATCTTTGGATGACGTAAGAGGAAACGCTCTAAATCTTCTTTCGCCTGTTTTGCACGAAGTCTTTGTTCTTCACGCTCCTCCTTCAAGCGTTGAGTCTTATAAACATTAAAAATTTGTTTCTTTTCCGTGAAACTCTTGAGTAGACTGTAACGTGGGTCTGCAGAAATCAACTTTACAGCTTGGTCCCAAGTGGCACTTCCAGGCACGTTACAATCACGGAAAAGACGTCGTAATCCTTCAGCCATTTCACCACGTGTCTTGTACTCCTGTAGAACTAGTGGAGCTGGGGAACCAGTGTGGCGCGATACAGCTGAGGTTTTCTCTTCCGAATCGGTTTTGTCCAACTGTTCAGATTTTACTGGAGCGGGTAAATCGTTTGGTGGGGGTGGAGGGATCGGTATTGCATCTGCTTTGGTCGCTGACATGTCATAAGACGCCAGTGTCGCTTTCATGGCTTTCTCAATTGCAGAAGGCTCTGGTGGTTTGCCAAATTCTTCTTTTGGAGTGGCAGGAGTACAGGGAGTTCCCAAAGGTAGAGGGGCTGGTTTCTCAGGGGCAGGTGAAGGCATCGGAGCAAGTGCCTCAGCCTGTTGTTCTGCCTCGATTAGTTCCGGAGGTTTAACCCAGACTGACTGTTTGGTTTGTTCATTAAAATAATACGGCTTTCCATTTTCCGATTTGAATTCCTTCCATGGACAGCTCGACAGAATGAGCTCGCGAGTGGATTTCAGTTCCGGTGGCTTTTCCCAAGTGGTTTGTTGAGTAAGCGTATTGTAATAATACTTACGGCCATCGTGAGAAGTATGTTCAACCCAACCGCCAGCAGCAGCAGAAGCAGTAGGTATTGCAGCTGGGACTCCAGTCGGTATATAGGCCATTGGAGCATAGGGGTGAGTAAAAGCAGCATGTGCCCCGGTGAATGCAGGATAACCAGCCATCGTCGAAACAAGAGAGAAACTGGAAAAAAAAATTAAAAATACATGAGATCATATAGGAGGATGCAGTAGGAACAGCTTCAAACAGACGTATACTTCCTGATTTCAATATTATTTCATCTGTGAAAGATTAGTGGGATAGCAGCTTATACATGGACAGCTATGAGGACGAATCATAGATCTGACCTTTTTATACTTGATTAACTCATTGATATATATATATATATCTATATATCTTACTTGTCTGAGGACAGACTGTGGGCCAAACAAATCATGGTGTAATAATCGTTATGAAAAAGAAAAACCTTCTATGGTTAGATTGTGGGTTGAATACTGCCAGGTTGCCCAGGAAAAAGCAGGTGAATTTTCTTGAGGAATCCACAACCGGAGCCTTCGGCTAGCCAAAGCCTGGCCCGCAAGGCAGTGGGGCGGTGTGTGAAAACCGCAGTCCATTAGGAGCTGGTGTCCAGTTCATCGGATCATACACCCTTTGGACGGGGTCAAACGTCCAAGCTGCCCAATACACCTCGACGCCCGATCGAGCCGGTGACCACTGCCACAACCGAGAAGTTGTGTGTGTGGTTGGTTTGGAATCAACGTTTTTGGCCAACTCCTCTATGTGAACTACCAGTGGTTTACCAACCCGGTTAGAGCCCCGGATGTCGGCTTTTTGCCCTCTAACTTTGGTGGGAAAACACCTCCGCCACGAGAAGGCAGGGAGTAGGGCTTCCTCAGCAGAGGCCTTTTGAGACGCTTGGTCGTATGGGAGCATTTCGCCAGGTGCCAGGGAAGGGTGATCAGTCGCAACCCTAGACACCCACGCCCGACTACACTGAGGCTTTCGAGCTAAACGGGATGGTTTTTGTCAAGCCGCAGATCTAATCATGCCTGAAAGGTC